AATAATAAACTACCAAACAATGCATCTCAAAACAATAGACTAACTGCCATCTTCATCAAGGCATGCAGCCTTACAATGGACACAAATGCCTGCTAGGTCTTCACATCAATACAGATCACATCACCATTAGACCAAATTAAAAGGAGTATGATATGTAACGTTCATTCACCTGCAACTCTACCAACATCGTATACGCCAGTGATTCCCAAAAGGTGCATGTCAGGGAACACTAGTGTACTGTGACAGTAACAGGGATTTACCAAGAGACCCCAACCCCTCCTTGCAAGGAAGTAAATCCTCTCCTCCCCCATCTGGCACGTGGCACCTGCTCCAGCTATTCCAGCACCTGCTACTCTAAGAACCACTACCTAACCCACTCCCAAGCAACCTGTACCAGACCCCACCAACACGCCCAGCAGCACACACTGCTGCAAGTAGGCAGATGCTTTACAGCCCAACTCATCCCCTCCATTCCTCCCACTTACGGGGATGAGCTGGGGCCAGCAGCGAGGACAGAGGGAGTGGCTGCCAGCATGCAAGACATGCAAGAGAAGCCTCAGCAAAGGGCTGCCCTTGCCCCCCTGAGGTAGAGACCAGAGGTGAGGCAAGGGAAGAGAGCAGAAAGAATAAGAAACAGCAGGGTGAAGTCCTGTCCCCACCACCCGTAAGTGGCACCAGCTAAAAATCAGCTGTTCTTAACTTTGTCAGCCTTGAGGTACCTTCCATCTCTTTTCCAAATTTAGATCGCTCTCAGTGATTTTCAATTGCAGTATCACAAATTTCAGAAGATATGGAAGGGGTCTTGAGGCTAAAAAGGTTGAGAACCACTGGTGTCAAGCGGTACAGAAAATTATCCCTTGCTTAAGAAATATACCTTTCATGTCATATTTTAAACCGTATACATCTCAGCACTGGTATTATTTCTTCTGGCAGTGCTATATGTTTTTTTTTTTTTTAAAAAGTTGCATGCAATTGTACACACAAAAGAGTGAAGTATGCCACTAAATTTTAGTTTAAAAAAATAAATAAATAAACAAACCAAGGTATGTCCCAATCATCTAAAAATTTGGAAAACACTGATCTATACCACCACCTGTTGCTATTCAGATCACTTTATGCGCTCCTGCTCTATGCTGTCCTTTCACAGTGTCTGATGAAGAGAACTCAAGTTCACTAAAGCTTGTGCTCTATGTACATCTTATTCAACTTATAAAAGGTGCATACATACCTTTGTCTTCTGCCAGTTCTTTCTAGAGCAATAGGTGAAGGTGGGGAGATTAGCCTTGGAAGAATTCCAGTTTACCACCAGAAGCAGCTACTGTTCTGCTTATCTTGTCCTACAGACTAAGTCAATATATGACTTCCTGGACAGAATGACCCCTAGTGGAAAAGCAGGATGATGGTTTGTGGACCATACCCACCAAGTCTTTCCCTTCCTTTCCTTGTTTCTCTCCTCTTCTCTTCACTTTGGCCTATAAAAGGGGATCTGCATTCAATAAAACTCAGCTGGGCTGCTGTATCCTAAAAGTTGAATTTGAATAATATCTAGGGATCACAAGAAAGCTAGGCAGAAGCCAACACAGTATCCAGAAAAAAAAAAGGAAAAAAAAAATGGAAACTAGGCAGGCATTTCAGGAAGTGGCGCTGGAGGGGGGGGTTCTCATATTTAATGTGAGGAAAGGGAGCAGGGACTGATGAGGCTATCTTCAGGGGTGGCGTGTGGACAGAAACCATGCCCAACAGAAACAGGACACAAAAGGACACAAAGCACAGTGCACACCAGGCAGCAGAAACCCATTCCAATCCTTAACTAAGGGAAGACTGTAAAAACTTCTCAACCAACTAGTAGCTTTCCACGTTCCTGAAAATGCTCACATAGAAGCAGAATTTCCCTATCTTCTAATCTCAGAATTTGGGAGAGGGGTGAGAAGACAGCTTAAGTAACATTTTTAAAGTTTTAGCGTTTTTTTATGACTAAGTACATAGTTTTCTCATCTATTTTTCCCCCTAAATTGGAGGTTGGCAATGCTGAGCTATTAACTGTACAGTCTCCTTCCTTAGGTGTATACAGAAGTTGCCTTTTTTTTTGCCATTTAAAAGAGCTTTATTGCTATGAATTAACATAAGCGTACAGCTTTACAGCACTTTAAACATGGGTACAGAGGTTTAAATTAACCCTTGTTATATGAGGGATTAACATTTGAAGCACTATACTTTATAGTACTTCAGCAACCTACAGAGTGTTAAATAACCTTTGTACACTGGTCAAAGTTCTGAACAGTGGAGAAGCCCCAGGAAATTGCAGAGTGCCCCCTGCCACCTAGCCTGGAAAGTGCAGGAAGGATAGAGGCTCCCCACACCAAACACTGCACTTCTATCATGTTTAAAAGTGCTGTAACTTTATAGTGCTATAAGTGCTCTAAGTTACAGTACTGCAAAATGTGTACAAAGCATTTCTGTACACACCTCTTGTCAGCTTAAGTTTAGAGGCAGGAAGAAACAACAGCAAATACCTTTGGATGATGGGCAACTTTAAGCAGTTGCTGAACCCACTACAGAAACTAGTTTATTGCTCCTGAATTTCTTAACACTAGATCATTAAACTTGTGACAAAAGGTTCCGGATAGAGACTGAGGGGGTGGTTCCTATAAATGTCTATAGCTTAATGGAACTATAGCTGGGGGTGGGGGGGATATTTCCCAGAGTTTTCTGTATTTACAAGCCTTGCTAACTATGGCAATTTATAATACTTGTTTTTAAATACTTGATGCTTCCTTTAAATCCCAGCTGCTGGAACCGAGAAACAGACAGATTCTTATCTTACATCTTGTTTCCAGTGTCAATGGATGAAGAGGAACCAAGAAAAAGAGTCTGAAAGCATAAAACCAGCACTCCAGTCTCAGAAGCCAGAAGACAAATGAAAAAAAAATTCTAAAAAATTAACCCATGCCAATTTTTGCACTTGAGGTTGGCAACATAGTAATGCTTGAGTATTTTTACTCTATATATAATCTTTTTTCATCTGTTTAGCAAGTTCTTAGCCAATTTCATTTTTGAGTTCTCACTTGAAAAAAAAAAAAAGCACTGCAGTGTTTCCCTTACAAATATTACACACAAAAGTTTTATTTATAAGCCAAGTTTGATCCAAAAATCCTTTAAGAGGCTAATAAATAATTTCATTTTTCCCCACAAGAAAGTCTTAAGTGTTTTGGTTTGCCAGTCATTCACAATACTATATTTGTTTAAATCCTAGATAAAATTATCCCCCAAACAACATACAGAAAAAGGCCTCATCACACATTCAAATACCAACCCAAGCATGATGGCAGCTCAGCTTTGGCTTTGCCCCTGGGCTTGGGGCTAAAGTCATAGCTAAGTTGACACCTACCCCAGGCTGGAATGGTACATTTGGCAGGACGAAGGTGTATGAGGCCAAGAGGAGAATCTTGGGACTTGGGGGAGGGGGGAGCACCACACTTGTAGTCCAGGATTATCCCCAACAGGGAGATTCAAGATTTAAGAAGTCAGCTTGAGAGCCCAAGAAAATTCCAGCCCAGGGATTTACTGGATGGCTCCCCTTGAACCAGGGTGTCTCCCCATCCCCAGTGGTGGGAATAAGAGGCACATGCTGAGTGAAGAGGGCTGGTAAGAGCCTGCAGTGGCCCCACCCCACCCCCAGGGTGCATACTGAAATCTTCATGAGCAGGCAAGAGGTCAGCAGAGCACATGAGGGTTGAGCTGGAAAGAGCAGACCCCTAGAATGAGCCCTCGGAGTTCAAGCCAGCTTCACAACTTTCTTTGGGTGAAGACAAAGCCCCAGGGAGCCCCTAGAGTAGGATACTAATTCCCCACTGGGGGAAAAACTTGGGGGTTGATAAAAGAGTAGGATAAACCCACGCGAGTGGCTGGGGAAAGGACTGCGGTGGAACTGTCAGCTTGGCGGAAAGAGACGCCAGCAAGGGTAAGTTCCCCGAATGCCAGTGCCTAAGGGCCTAAAGAGAAAGTGAGACCAGAGGTGCTGTCTGGCCTGCCTGTGGCAGTGAGTTATTTCTCCACATGCTTAATTGCATAAATAGCTCTGTGGGTTTGGAGAGGCAGTACACAAGCAGAGCAGCATTCACGGAGGTGGCTAAGAACCTGTGTTTTGCAGCGGTCTGCAGTCAGAACAGCCTCTGCAGACTGCAAGATGCCTGGGCCTACCTGGGATAGCCCAAGACAGCTGGAGCCCTCAAAACATTTGAGGAGAGGAGCAAGGGACTGCCCCTGCCTCCATCCTTTGGGCACAAGTAGGGGTGAATGGTATTTAGCTGTGAATAATTAGGGGATTAATATAATGAGTATTTAGCATAGTGTGTGTGTCATTAGCTTGATCATCTCTTAAGTGCAAATATTTATTAACTGTTATTTTTGTATAAACTCACCCTTATTGTATTGTAGAGTATTTCAAACTTTTGATATCATTTAATATTTGCATGTATATTATAATTATTCCCTGTATAAAAACTAAATTCTGTAAATAGTTACTCCTGAGTCTACAAGGTCTCTCCACTGTAAAAGGGAGCCTCTCTTATCAAAGAGGCTCTGGCTACTCCTAGGTGAGCTGAACAGTGCTACCTGGCACCCCAAGTCCCAAACATCTGGACATGGCCACAGGTAGCACCACATGCCAATGGGAAATGGATAAATGTTAAAATTGTCTATATTTTCCATGTGTAGAATCGGGGGGAGGCAGAGGGAGAAAGAGTGCAATCATCTTAAATTCAAAGTCTTTTTGGAGTCTGGTAAATATGGTAATTTGCTTGACCAAAAATTCTGTTTATTTAGTTGAAAAATTCAAAATAGCTGGTCCAGACATCTATATAATGAAACTTTATTTATTTTTCTTAAAAGAAAGAGAGGGAAAGTCTAGAGCCAGTAAGTAAGACACCAGACTATAAACTAGATTCTTCTATTCCTGGTTCAGAAGCTGACCTGCTGCATGCAATCTTAAACAAGTTTACTTTTCTTCTTCCAATCCTTTTTTCTTAGCCTCCCTCAGATTACCTGGAGTAGGAGCTCTCTTATTCAGGATGGGGGTAGAAGCATGCACATAAGCAATGGAAAAAAGCAACTAACATTTCAAGTCCATGTTCACTTACCTTGACTGGAAGTAACTTGTTTGTGTAGCCGTACCAAATGAAATCCTCCTAAATCAGTGACTAAATAGTTTAGAGTTTGTCAATGGATTCGACAATACAATATTGTCAAATTTTGAAAAAACAAAGCTTTCAGGACTTCATCAAAAGGGGAAAAAAAATCCATAGCAGCTTCATCCATTTTGTTCCTACCTCTACCCATAAGGCTCTTGATCCACAAAAGAGAAACTCAGTTTACCAGGAAGCCTACTGGTGTTAGGGGCAGCAACTCAATCCTGCCCTTCTAGTCAGAGGCAAGGAACAAGGAGAGTTAAAGTTATGCTTGCCCTTCTCAACAGCAGTACCTGATTCCATGTTTCTACAATCCATCACTTTACAGAATAGCAGAGTGAATCTTTTAACAGTTTAATCAGTTTCATGCCAATTACTCAGACAGGAAAAAAATTGAATCAAATTAGGTTTTCATTCTGCTATTTTTTGAGAGAGTTATGATCAGCATCAGTAGTAGAAAAAAAAAAATCCCTGAAAAGTATAGTGCTAGAGAGACAGCTAGAAGCAGAGCTAACTTTCTTTCAAGTCATTACTCTGTTTCACCCATTTGTTGTTTTCCAGTGCTTGAGACTTCCTAGATAAGGGAAGTGAAGTGGTAGGTGGTGGGGACGGAGGTTATTACACAAATGCAGATAAATTAAAGCCACTCTTACATGCGTTGGCTGCCCATTCTACCCAAAAAGTAACCCACTTTAATATATTATATTATTACCAAGTTAAAGTTGTCATTGACACACATTGGCAACTATTTTTAATTTAGGCAGGTACATTTCTGCTTCTAGACAGCTTCTGTGTCTTTAAGGATGGAGTTGTTTCTCAGCACAGCATTCCCCCAAACACCCCACCAGAAATAACATTATTTCCACAGCATTTTTATAGAAAGAAGCTGCACATTTTGACTAACATAAGGACATACCAGATACCCACAAACTCACTTGCAAGTGTACCACCAAATGTAGGTCTCCATCGTAGCTTACTTAGCAACATGAAATTTATACACACAGGCAGATTTATTGCACTTATCCCAGCTGCACTATAGCCATAATCTCCAAAGGCAGACATGTTATTATACACAATAATGTCCACTAAAATGGCAGTTACAGTTAGTTTTCTAGCACTGTTTATCATGGCTTCTATTAACAGTCAGGGCTGCCAGTCATTGCCTCCTGAGGAGCACTGCCACCTCACCTCCTCAAAATGATTGGTTCTAAGCAAGCATGTGTCATGTATGCTATGATGTAAAACCTCTCTCAAAAAGATTACAGTTTGAGGTAGTGCAATATCAGCCAGTATAAAAACTAATATAAGTAGATAAGACTGATGCTTAATCCCATTTCACAAATTCTAGACTCTAGTTTCCTTCACAAAGTGGCATGCAGTAATCATAAACCTTCAAAAAGCTCCTACACTATGGATTTGAATGGCATAACTATACTTACTGAGAGAAAGCCAAGTGTTTTATATTCAGGTTGGAGTAACATGCAAGAGACCTTTTTATTTTCACACACCCACTGCTCTCAAGCCACATAAAACATCTTGAATTTTATTAAGAGTTCTGCTTTCATTTTGTTTTTTAGTCTCAATTGAAGTCACCTTTGTCAGTCTTAATGACAGTTTTTCTAAGCTCTTCAGTTGTTTAAACTATCCCTTAGAAAGTCTTCCATTTTTGCACGATGCAAGCTTTTTAGATTGGAGTACATAAGGATCAGGACAGTTAAACTGAGGAAGGGGACATCCTGATATGGCACAGCTTGCACATTTAAACAGGAATTGGATTGCAACACTTCAAACCAAGCTTTTGGGCAAGGCACAACTATGCTTTGTCATAGCTTGTCAGCATAGCTAGAAGGATGGCGCAGAAGTCCCATTCATCATGATGCGGGGCCATTAATGCACAAGGGCAGAAGTCTGTCAAGTTAGGATAACTTGAGCTGAGAAAGGAGTTTGGCAACAGGACCAGAGGTTTGAATACACTCTGTCTGGAGATTCACGAACAGGCGTTATGTAGTCAAGATGAAGTTAGACGAGCTTTTGCATGCAAGAGACCTGAAGAACGCTTTGTGCTCCAAGGCTGCTCTAACTTGATCCCAACCACATAGCCGGTCCAATAAAAGACCTCACCCTAACCCTTGCCTCAGCTCTCACATAATTACTGGACCAACCCAGCTACATCACTTACACTACTGAAATAGTGGATATGTGAAGACACAGGGCCTCAAGCCACTTGCCACACTAATAATTAACCCAAGGCAGAAGAGATTAGTTGCTAGTTTCCGTAGGAAAACAAAGGGAAGAGTTCCTCTGTGTTCCGCCCCACTACACATTCAAGTGAATACTAGATAGAAAGTAGCTGCAGAGTTGCAACGCATTTTCAAGCACTAACTCGAGAGCTAGCCAGCTCTTTTTAAAGCTGGAGAGGTCTCTTTCCCACACGGCAATTATTTCAAGTGAGCGGTAGGGGGTCAGAGTTTATTGCACCATTCACCACAGAAGTGCACAAAAATTAACTCTGCGTGGGGCCGGCCTTCCTTTGCACAGGCGGGCCCGTCTCGGCTTCCTGCATAATTCACCACAGATCCGCACCACCACTGCTTTGGAGATGTGCGTGTGCGCGCCCAGCCTGACGTATGCCACGATGCCCCAGGGCCCTTTCAGACACCAGGGGCCAGGGCAGAGAGCGATTTGTCCCTCAGAGGCCAGAGCATACAGCTGCCAGGCTAGCGGACTCCAAAGGGCTGGCCAGGGAGGTCGCCCCCAAGACCGCGGCCGGCTCCCGCTCAGGGCAGCGCTCGGCCCCTGGCCCTTCCCAGCAGCCCCTGCGCGAGCCTCAGCGGGGGAGGAGCGGAGCCGCCCAGGGCAGCGCTGAAGCGAAGAGCGCGCGGGGGCAGGGGGGCGTCGCGGGGGGAGGTGGGTTGGTACCTGCGCTGGAAATCCTGCTCGAAGGGGGCCAGGTAGGGGTCGCGCTGCAGCAGACGCTGCAGGCCGGGCGCGGGCGCGGCGCTG